GGGACTAACCACAAACCGTTTGTTGCATTATACTTACGGCAAATTTTTCAAAAGTGTCTAAGGTTCATTTTGGAAACTGACAAAACTCTCTCAGATCCCAAGTCCCACTAAAAGCTGGTGGGGCTCAGGCTGCTGAGTACCCAACCTGAGAGCTACTCCACACCTACCCAGCTCAGAGCTCAGCAGCACGGGCACGGCACTGGGTGTGAACGCGCCCAGCCTGGGGCACAGGTTGGGCAGTCCTCGTGGGCTGTACCACTGACTGATGCTCAGTTTGGCAAGGACCTTGGCTTCTCCACACTGCATTCTACTTTCTGCGGTATTTCTGAGGGAAGAAAGAAAGATGGGGCCAGAATTTCAGAAAAAATTTTGTATCTAAAAAGCAGACAGAAATTTAGGAGAACTTTCTAAAGAAAACAAATGAACTCAATGTCCAGCATGGAAAGCATAAAAAGGGAGTTGGGTACAGAATTTGCTTAGATGCCAAATGGTACTTTTAGAAGCATCTATCTGAACCTTTACAGACTTAACTTCCTTCCAAATTCAGACCATCAGGATCTTAAGAACTTCTAAGAGTAGTACACTAAAGGTAAAAGTCTCAAATGCATCCACTCAAAAGGTCCTGAGCAATTGAAATCTTGGATTTTAATTTGATGATGATGCAGAGACACGTTCACACATGATGTCAGGGCAAAAAGTGATGAACAACTATCCTTGCATTGTTAGCAAATGCATTCTCAAATTACATCTGCCCTGGGAACCATTTACTGCCAGAATGTGACCGCCATTTGCTATGAGAGCCAGCACCCTGCACAAGGTCACAGGGGAGGCCGTTGGTGACACACAGACATTCCGAAGGTTTTCTGTAAAGCATTGCGCTCACAGAGGAAGGGAGTTCAAAATGCTGCCAAGAGCACAGTAGAATCCCTTTTTCCTAGTAGATTCCTGCAACTCACTTCTGATGCATGGCTTGCAGCATTGCATCAAACACCATCTTTCTACTGGAGGAGGCAGCTGAATTTCTCTGAAAAGAAGAAATTGCAGGTTCCCTCCGGAATTAGAGCATAAATAGTAAACTATGTCCCTCTGAACATGGTGGAAATTATTACTTCTAGACACAGGTATTTTTGGGTTCTTGGAAACCAAAGTCTCAGAATCCTCCTAAAAGAAAAGGTAATAAAATAAATAGTTTGGGGCTTTCACACTCTCTACTTCCATGTGTTCCTTCTGCAACACAAGCATAATGAAAGAAGTTATATTCCATGGTAAACAGCATGTGACTGTCAAGCAAACTGGGAATATGGGGACAAAAGGGTTTATATGTGATTGCTACGTGACGGGCAGAGTGCTCTTCTCGCTACACTCGGAGCTGCAAGCACTGCAAAAAGCCTCCTGTTTAAGGGAACAGCAAACTTCTCCTAGACTAGAAGGGAACAGCCGCCAAGTGACATTACAGTGGAGAAAACAAAATTCCAATCTAAAAAAATAGTTCAATCCTTCTCTCCCTGTTTTTAAAGAACTGAAAACAAGAACATGTGTGGGATTTTTACTGCAAAACACTGTTTAAATGGGGCTTGCTTTTTCTAGTATTTAACAAACCTCTTTGCATACTGTACATACCAGAAACCCATATCAACATTGTAAACACCCCATGTGAAAGCAGAGCACTTTGCTGATAGAATACAATTCTTTTACTTATTTTCTTTCCAAAAACATTGCACAGGCTGTGGTTTATTTGGGGTTTGCAACACCAAAGGACTGCACAAAGTGGAAAACCATCAAGGTCTAGCTTCCAAAAGGTTGCTGCAGCTGCAGGTCAAAAAGTTTTGCCTCCTTTGGACTAGAAACTACTACAACCCCCCCTAAAAAATTACCTGCTTCATTATCTACTAAAAAACCCCAAAGCAAAACAAAAAATGGTATTCACATGTTTGATATAAAATCTCTCTGGTATTTTCTTTTGTGTTACACTTAAGCCAACCTGGAAAATTTCCTGATCGTTGCCTGCCAGAAATGCACTGCAAAGACTGAAAATCAGATTCATAAGGAGTGGACACCTGCAGAAACTGGAGTCTGTTAGTAACTATTTGGAGGGCAAAAAGAAGTCACCTCTTACCAAGTTAACGACTCCCAGCTACTTTAGCTTCTTCACTGGTATTCCTTCCAGGTTGGATAAAATCAATGATCATTCTGATTTTAAGCCTGCCAGCAATTCTTTCACTGTAAAAGACCTGAGTTAATCAAACTGTATGCACAAGCAGGCTTGTGTAGCAACGCAGTAACAAATTGTGACAGCTCCATTGGTAATATAGAAAGAAATCTTAACAAATTAGAAGCTGACCCTGATTTTATCTAATGGCAACCAAAAAATGATGACTAGGAAAAATATAGTAATTCCATTTCAGCACATTTTTAGGGTAATTTTTCTTAGTTCAACCCTGTGTATACCTGCTTAGAGGAGTACGTGGAAGTCCACTTGCAGGATTTCGCCTCATTCTTGAATGCCTCTTCGTAATTTTACCAACTGGGTACCCACTAACACTTTCTGCAATAACTTCTTTTTTTCTTCTTCTAGCAAAGGCAATAAAAAAATCAATATAAAAAAACCCAGTCTCAGTGATCATGCACTGAGAATGGAGAAAAAAGTGCTTGGAGATGTGACATTTTAAAGCATCTCTGTAAGTTTAATTTTTAAAGGACAGAATGAGGCATATTAAATTCTTCTCATACTACGCATATCACATGTACAAAACCCCCCCAAATAAAATGATTAATCCCAGTGACTGAAGAGGTGTGAAAACAGTGCAAGCTGGAATTGGTCGAGACTTGCTGAGATCCTGGAGACATCTTTTTTTCTTTTGAATGAACTCTGCTATATCCTTTTCCCTTTAAAATAATACCGCAATTTGGATCTTTGCTTTTCTGATTTCATTGAAAAACACTTACTAAATATTTCTGCTGCTAAGAGCATTCAGAGCCATGCTCTAGAGTCACTCTGTCAAAAGGCAAACCCCTTCTTTACTGGCAAGAGTAGGGTGGGACAATTTCATGCAAATGCAACCTGTAAGAAACCAAATCCTGTTTTCCAGCAAAAGCTCACTCGAATGGAAATGCAAAGCAAAAACAAACTCTGAAGTGGTAACACACATGCTGATTTGCTTTGATAGAGAATGTTTTTCCAACATTGTGGGGAAGGTGTCAACAGCATCATGAAATATGGTGAATGTGTAACAACAGCAAAAAGTGATGGATGCAATGTCAGAGATTTAATATAGAAAGGACTTCTCCTACAAACTCTTCCTTTCACAAGCATTCTTACTCACACAAGCAATCCTCTTCTTGGCAAGGGGCTGCAGGATCAAAATATAAAAAGCATACATAGTCGAATGATTTTTGAGAGATACTGAACTTTATATATATAATTCTTTTTGTGGGAACAAAACTCTAAATTGTGTGGTACTGGTTGGTGCTGCCAGTCCCGAAGAGCACTGATATTTTAAAGCCTTGATCCTGTAGACCACTGGCTTCCCAGAATGGTCTATACAAATCCCTCAAGACTTTATTTGTTGGGTTTGGAAATGGCTACACTGTATAAAAATGTTTTTGTATTTATTTTTTAAAAAATTAGCTTTACAAAAAAACTTTTCCCTTTTTTTCTTTTTCTTTTTTTTTCTTAAAGATATCATTATCTACAGGAACCCATAAAAATTTTTCCATATTTACATCTAGATAGCTAATCATTGACAAATATAATATCGTGAAATAAAATATTGAAAGTGAATATCCAACCTTTTAAATAGACATTTGGCTCACAGCATAAACAACAGAGAAAACAAATAAACAGAACAAAAAAAAAAAAAGATCTGCTCTTCTTACAGGCCCGATCTTTTCCTTTCTCTTAAAAAAAAAGAAAAAAGAAAAAAGAAAAAAAGTATATTGGTGGGATCAAACACGCTGCTTCTAAGCAGAATGCCAGCAACAAACTGCTCCCATCCAGCACCTCACACTGAAAAACCAAGTTCTCTGAAGCTCATGTGAGTGGTTGCTGAGACATACAAGTGTCCTGCTGACGCAGGACTGGCACCTGTCCCCCACGCTGCTCCTAATGCATCGTTTGCCTTTTATTCTGAGGAAGGGCACGGCCCCGCACTCCCCTTCTTTTGCTCTCAAGAGGCATAGTTTAGCTTCGTTCCTAAATGATATATTTGGCCACTGATGCATGGAGGCATAACGTTGACAGCGTGCCTCTAGTTTCCGAGTATGTACACACATTTGCTCTCTGTCCTCTCCTGCCCAAACACACACACCGCCCCATGCAGCCACTCACGCACTCAAAAGTATACAGAGGGCCAGGTCCTCTCAAGGGGAACAGACCAGCGTGCCACACAGTCCCTCGTAACCCCCTTTGGAAAATAAATTTCCTGGCACATCCCTTTCGCCAGCAGTCTGGGAAGTGCTGAGGAGGAGGAGGAGGAGGAGGAGGAGGATGAAGAGGAGGAGGCGGAGGAGCCCGCACAGCCGGATGGGGCCAGGCCAGCAGCCCGGGCCACCGCGGCCCCTGCTGAAAGGCTGCTGCCTGCAGCTGGAGTGCAAAATTGGGACTTGGAGGGCTACGGGGAATGCAAAGCTCCTCAAAATGGTCTCCGCTTCCCTTGTGGGCACAAATTCTCTAAAATTCAGGCCTTCTGTTTGTTGCTGTGTACTGGGATATGTGCTACAGCTAGTGTAATAAGAACTATGCTATATTACATGACATCCACTCACACTTGCAAACACCCCCTCACGCACATATACATGTTGGCAGGATATATCAGCATTCATATAGAGCTTTGGAACTTTTATCCCTCAGCATTAAGAGCAAAAGCTACTTAACTGGTACCTTACTGTTAACTGCAAATGTGCTTTAGAAGCAGCATTTCCTTAGATAACTTTCTTCTGTAAATATCACAGTGACCATAATATATCATTAAATGTATTTTGCTGAAGTGCGCAGCCAATAACCCTGGCTATATATATATATATATTTATATAATTCCACCCACCCCCAAATCTCTTTAAAGAAAGTCTGTAAAAGCCGGTGTCGCAGTGTGAAAGCTTCCTTGAGCATAGGAGTTTAAACAATGTACCTCACCATAAAAAGGAAAGATAAACAAATTAAACAGCTGTAGGCGCATTATCCCATACTTCTACAGTGTTGTGTCTAAATGCTGTGCTGGCTTGAGAAAGAGTCTGTGCACGAGTCAATCTGTCTTAAAATACTGCTGTAAATATTGTCATTGGTTCGGTTCTACAGTTGTGTTCTCCTCTTCATCCCTCTTGGGTTTCCCTTTCTCCTCTTCCTCTTCCCTGATGGCCTGGATTTGTTCTGAAGATTGGTGCAGTGTGGATTGCTCCGCGCCTTGCTTCTCTGTCCCGGCTAACCTCTCCTCGTCCTCAATTACTTTCTTCCACATTTTATGGTTCTGAAGCAGGTGCTGAGTGATCTGACAGTAGATTTTCCTCCTCTTAAACTTCTTCTTTTCTGTAAAATACCACATGACATTAATGTACTATGTTCTGTGAGAGAAGAAGGAAAAGGGACTGAAGGTGTAGGAAGCAGGGTGTACTACAACATATAGGAACTGTACCAGCAGATTTTTAAAACCACATACTTAAACAGTCTTAAAATTCAGAAAGCTATGCCTCTCCAGAACTCTGGGAAAGCTAACTGGTTTCCTGCGAAGTTGGAGCCCCAGCTTCATCCTATCATAGGCTGCATGCTGTCCCTGACCACGCAGCTCACAGAGACATCTAGTGTTTGAATGATTACGCATAAAACATGTTGCTGAGCCATTTCTGCTCATCTTTTTCTATCAAGTACTTAAAGACTCTGATCAACCTACTCCATAACACACACATTAAATTTGGTGCCCCCCCCACAATGGATGCCTGCTGATTGCCCTAGAAAAAAAATCCTGATTTTGTTTTCTCCACATTTTACCTCTGATCTAAGCTGTGGAAAGATAACATATGAGCAAGCATTAGTAATCAAAGGAGGAAACCCATTCCTATCTTCCTTTTTCAAAGTCAGAGATTTACCACACCACCGTCACAGTGGAGATGACCTTAAAGCCTTTGCACAACATTGCTCCGGCAACAGAGTCTGACCACTGAAGGAACAGTCATATAGCCAAATACTATCAGGGAGCTCACTTGTCTTTGGTTTTGAAGCATCAGTCCCCTGCTGTTAACCTACAAAATGTTTTTGCCACTGGTAGTTCTCATGGCTCCTGCCACAGCTGCACTACAAGTGTTTTGCTGTCAGAAGTGTGGTTTTTTTCTGTGTCAGTATAGCCTGTCTGACACAGATTGTTAACTCCTTAACAGTACAAAGCTTCAAAATTTTCCCTGGTCATTAACAGTGGCAATGGTAGTCACAGAACTCAAGTAACGACCCCTCCAAAGACAACTGCCGATTTCTTTTTTAAAGAAGGTGACGCAGAGGAATGTTTTGTACCAAATAAATTTGTGTGGATTAGTATTTGCAGGTTGCCTGAAGTATGTCTGTGTCAGGATCCAAAACGTTTAGCCCTTGAAGCTTTTGAACTGGAAACAAAGAGCTTTTCACTGAGAACAGACCAAATCCAACTCAATCCTTCATTAGAAAGCCCTTGGTTCCCTGCAGGAAACCTTCAGGTTTAGCACTAATAAGAAGCCCCTACCCTGCCAATGCCGCAGCACGACATTCTCTCCTGGGTTTCCCGGGTGACCTCGCATCTTGCTGCTCTCTGCAGACACCAGCGAACACTTGCTGTGGTGTTAAAATTTGTCTGAATCGCTACAGACTGAGCCTGTTTAATTCCTATACTTCAACAGAACTTTGGGGGAATTACATGCTCCTGTATAATAACAAAAATTATTTTAAGGTACCTTAGGGTTTTATAACTCTTAAATTTATCTCAACTGCTTTAGTGAATTATCAGGACCTAGGTGAAGTGTTTTCTGCCACTATTATATTTCCACCTGCCCTAAAAGGCATTTCCATCAAGAAAAAGATCTTCACCAACATCTACATGACTCTTATTATCTATGCATCTGACATCTTAACCTTTTATTTGGTTTCACTGAGAAAATTTAGAACATCCAAAATTGTGTTGACCATAGGTACAAATTTCTAACTTCCTGTAAGATCCCTATATCGACACAACATTGATTCCTGATTCAGATCCACACAGTTGCAGAGAATTTAGGGAACCGGAAGAAAACAGTTTGTAACATGTTGGTATGATCGAGAAGATGACCACTCCATATTTGATAAGAAGGAAATAGTAAGAATTTGGATATTTCAAAACTTCTGGTATATTCATTTTTAAGGTTTTTAAAAAGATAAAGAGCCTAAAAGCACCAGGTTGAATACTAAAGTACTGTCGTGGAGTAGAATGTGAAAAAGAAAACAGAAACCAACTAAAAAATGGTCTGTTTTCAATGTGACAAGGGTTAATAATGGTTTGTCCTTTCAACCTGAAAGCAGCATTGTTGGACTTGACTAGCAGTGATACAGAAGGTAAGTGAATACAGAAATGAGGTGAAAGGAAACTAAGGATTTCGAAGAAGGTTAGACGCTCCAATGGATAAATGAGAACATCTTTCATCTTTCTTTTTAATACAGCAATATCAGTTTCAGGCTTAGAGGTTTTATGTTGGTTACCAATCACATATGCTTTCCCCCTGCTGGGCAATTCCCTAAATGCCAATCTGCCACAGAAACATGTGGCTCTGCCTGCTATTACAGAGCTGATGGATCATAAGGTGCTAAAATAAACCTCTGTGTGCTATATTACTTAATGTTTGCTGTTCTCAGCAACGTTTTTTGTGCATATGAACCTGCTAAACTTAAAATATGTGCAAGTGTGTGTGTGAACAACAGCAATGATTTCTTAAATACAAACCGTGTACCTCTGGATCTTACTAGAGATAAAAGGTCAATTCTGCACATCAGGAGACGTAGATTTTAGTTCCACGTCCCTATGTGACTTATTGCAATCATCAAATCTTTCCACTTCTCAGCTTCCCCAACGGAAAACAGGGATGATACTCAGTAGGGCATGAAAGCGTGTGGAAAAGAACAGAAAAAGTGAGGCTGTTAAGAGAAAAAGCTACATATCAATATTTCACTTGTGCACTTAGGGCTGGTGCTTTCTAGAACAATTAGATATAGGGGAGGGAGAGAAAGATGACCTGGAAGAAGGAAATAACAGTAGTAGGAAACTCAGAGGGAGGAGGAACACAAAAGAGAGGAAAAGGTAATGCATGCAGGATTAAACTGGTCAAAGAAACAGGTCTACAGTTGCAGCCTTTTCTCTTAAAAATCACTTCCAATGAGTTCCTGAGATCTCCTTTGAAGGTACAAAGTTTTCCTCTCAGCATGACAAATGTTGGCACTGTTGCCCTTCTGGAGGAGAGGCAGACTAGCAGCTTTAGTTACTGATTAGCCAGAAGGGACAAGTGACGCAGCTCCCAGCACACAACACAGCGATGCTCAGTGCCAATTCTCTCCCCACTCTTCTCCACACATTACCTTGACGGGATTTGCATTAAAATACTTTAATTGCCAAAAACTCTTTTACTGCATCAGCATTTCAGAACCTCATTCTATTATTCCTGTACATCATGCTAATTCATGGAAATGTTGAGTGCTTTCCTCAAAAAATCTTCTCCCACCCATCTTTTCTTCAGCTGAAATTATTGCAATCTACTAACATCAGTGCTGAAATAGTCTAAAAAACCCTCATGCACAGATGGGTGATCCACCACCAGAAACCTCACCTGAAGATAGAAATGCGTAGTAGATATGAACAGCAATGTGTGTCAGTCCTGAAACCATGGTGCATCTCCATTACCAACGTAACTGGCTACATGCCAGCTTCACCAAGGACAGCACTGAATCACTATAACTCTGGAGAGGCCCATGTTGAACCTGACCAGTTTGCAGTCTCTACGCTTTTACAATATGGCTGCTTAGTTTTTGGTCACAATATGGAACTTGTTCTGTTGAAAAAAGTGTGAACAACTTACTGGATTCAGCATTTTCACAAGTTTCCATTTCTGCTGCTTCTTCCTCTTCGTGCTCATCAGTGTCTCCTGATTCATCACTATCTTCTATCCATTTTCCTGGCATCAGCCCCGCTGAGTCATAGGAGTTACATAGTGGTCCCACAATGTGAGTGATGAAAGATTCCTGGAGGTGTGCCAGCTGAGGAGCAGAGCGATCCATGAAAGGACTGATTGGCAAGCCAAGGCTAGCCTCTTCATCACCCTGGAGATGAAAAATAGCGGTAATTTCTTTGAAGTAAATGAAACAAAGCCATGTCACGAAAAGGAGTAATGCACATCAAACCAATTTAAAATGATGAAAGAAAAATAATTCAACTCTAATGCCACTTCCATAGCATGCCAGCATGACATTACTACAGTGCCATCACATCACATGGTTAATCAAAATTACAGGGCTTTGCACGAGTGTGCAAAATGATGCCCACCGCCCTTGTCCTGCCCTTTGTTATACTGTGAGTGTGAAAATCTGAAAATTATTATTTTCTTTCTTTCTTCACATTATTTTCAAAAAATCCCTTCTAATTTTGTGATTGTTACCTCACAACAACCTTGTAGTCAGACACCTGTTAGCAGGGAACAAGACTGAACTTGTACAAGCAAGGGCTATCTCATTGAACTAGTTTTCTTATTAATTTTGTACTTACTATACATAACATGGAGAGGTCCTCTTGCCTTTGGGTCATAAGTATTTGTTTCCTGTGACTATTAAAATGGTCCCTAAGAAAGCAGGGGTTACTCAGAAATAGTAAATCTTTCCCATAAAGCTTTTTGCTAGCTTTTCTTGGGGAGAGAGGGTAAAGGGGAGGTATAGGAAGACTTTTTTCTCCCTCCTCTCATGATGTAAAAGAAGGTAAAACTTTCTTGCAGTACCAAGTCTGATATACTCACTCATCCATATCACAGCAAAGCTTCTGGTGATATCAATGAGTTTTCAGCTGAGTAGACACGTCAAGACCGGATGCCACCTCCCCAGGAAAAAATCCAATCCCCCTAATCAAGCCTGATATGCAAATTAATGTTTAATGCAGTACAGAGATCTATATTTGAGAATATAGATTAGAATTTGCAGAGACATTTTCAGTTTCTATTACATTACAGATTGCTCAAATTTATCTCCTTGTAACCTAAATTTTCCAAAAGTCATCGAAAATGTTATCTGGTCAACACCCTGTTGATACCTGGGAAGGCCAATGAATGAGAGGTAAATTTTGATGCGTGTACGATAAATGTCTTGTTCCCTTGTGTTTTGTTTTGTTTTCTTACTTTCATGTTCCTGAAATGTTATGTTCAATCATTAAATGCAAAATATTAGTGTTAACGAAACACTGAAACATGCCATGCATTCTCGAAATAGCAAGCAAATTAAGAAGAGGTGGCAGCTCGCTCTTCTTTACAGTAACACATCTGAGACTTCCTGGTTACGAGCTGTCAATAGTGGAAAGCAAGCTGACTATCAAAATGCTTACAAGTTCTTTTTTCATGTTCTGTGAAAACATGATTTATTACATGAAACACCTTGCAGTGCATTTTTAAATTCTTTTTAATATGTCTAGCCTGTCTTCAAATAAGTATGCTGAGCATGTGGAGGGAAGAAAAGGAAACACACTCTAACAATACTGCACCAGATTTTGAATGATTCTATGCAACATGTTTTTAATAAGGAGTTTTTATTTATATGGGAGTTAAATTCTTCAAAGGAACTGGTGTTTATTAAAGAAAATTCAAGAAAGATATTTCATTATTTTCACAGCATAGGTTGAATGTACATATGTATGCTTTCTGATAACAATTCTAGGGAAATTCAAATTTCCCATAAAATTCTCCTTTTTAGCAATGAGAAAGCGAAGACTTTTCCCTTCTCAAAAAAAATCTGATAATCAAAAAGATGGTGAAGATGGTTTGATACACCTCTCATAGCATATTACATGAAAGAAAATCAGATTTTAACCTAGGTTAAATAAATTGAGAATCTAGCTTATTGTCCTGAATGCTAAAAGTAAGTCCTAGAAAGAACATCGTCTCTGTTTTCAGTCCCATCTGTATTGTGTCAGCATGGCAATATCGTGTCATGCAAAAAAACCAAAACAGGAAACCCACTGGGACATACTGATTTCTCAAGATAGTGAATACACATCTTCTATTAAAAAAAAAACAAAACCAAAAAACTCTAATATCTTACTGACTACCTGACCTCTTGGAATTTGCAGACTAACAGTTCAAATACATTTGCCCGCAATCCCCATGCCAAAAGGAATGCCATTAACAAAGATAATTTGTTATTCTGAATCAAATTTTGCAGAGAGGATAAATGTATTTTTTTTTTAATTACAGGACTGTAAGAAAGAGTATTGATCTGCTGGAGGGTAGGCTGGCCCTGCAGAGGGACCTG